GGATACCACCCAGAGGGATGTCTGGGGGAATATTGGTTGGAATTAATAAAGATATGTTTGATATTGTGCATGTTGAAAAATGTGTCTACTTTCTGAGGATCTTAGTGTCTGATAAAAACATCAAAATGCTTTGGAATTTGGTCACAATATATGGAGATGCCCAATTAGAATGGGAAGCAGGGTTTCTAGCTGAGTTGGCTAGACTATATCATGAAAATCCTATCCCATGTTTAGTGGGAGGATATTTTAATATCATTAGAAATGAAAAAGGAAAGAACAAACCTGTCCAGACTGATCAATGGAGCTTATGTTTAATGCAGTCATTGAGCAAGCTAGGCTGAGAGAGTTGCCACTTAATGGCAGAAAATTTACTTGGGCTAACAATTTAGAATACGCTACTTATGAAAAACTTGATAAAGTACTAATGTCCAGCTTGGGAAGAAAAATATCCACTGTCTATTCTACAAGTTTTTGCTAGTGAAATTTCTGATCATACGCCTTTGTTCCTAGATACTGGGGAGAATAACAAAGGAGAACCTATCTTCAGATATGAGAATTCTTGGGTTCTGAGAGAGGGGTTTAAAGAGTTAATCTATAAAACTTGGGATGAAACTTATAAAGGGGACATTTTAGAAAGATGGCAAGGGAGATTGAGAAACCTTAGAAAAAAGAGTAAGGGGCGGACTAGGAATGTGGATGCTTGGTGTAAAAAATCAAGAGTAGCATCATTGTGAGATTAGATGATATTGATAAAAATGTGGAGATTTTGGGGTTATCTGCTGCTGACAGGACAGGGCAGAAAGAACTGAGAGACCAACTAAAAAGGATACTGCAACAGGAAGAGTTAAGTGGTTACAAAGATACAAGGACAAATAGATTACATATGGAGATGGAAACACTAGGTATTACCATGCCAAGGTAAATGGGAGGAAAAAAAATAGAATTATATCTTTAGAACAAGAAGACGCCTTGATTGAAGGAGAAGAGAAATTAATGACCTACATTACAAACTTCTATAAAAATTTGTTTGGACACCCCGAGGAGAACTTAATCTCTCTAAGGGGACAACAATTCACAGAAATTGGTGAGGAAGAGAAAAAGAATTTAGTTGAACCTTTCTACTTGCAAGAGATGTATGATGTAGTGTTTGGGATGAAGAAAAATAAAAGTCCTCGCCCAGATGGATTCCTAGCTGATTTTTATCAGCAATTTTGGGACCTTGTGAAATGGGAATTGAAGGGATTGTTAGTTGAATTTGCCAAAGGAAAAACTAACATCTCTAGATTAAACTATGGAATCATAGCTTTGGTACCAAAAATAAATGATGACAAACAGATTCAGAAATTTAGACCAATATGCCTACTTAATGTAAGTTTCAAAATTATTAAAAAAGTGTTAATGAATAGATTGACCAAATGTGTCTCCCCTGTGATATCCAGAACACAAACATCATTTATCAAAAAGAGATATATCATGGAAGGGGTGGTAATCTTACATGTGGCTCTAAACACAATTAATATTAGGAAGCAGAGTTCAATGATTTCTAAAGTTGATTTTGAGAAGGCATATGACAAAATAAAATGGCCCTTTGTCATGCAGATGTCAAGACTAAAAGGATTTCCCAACAAATGATGTGATTGGGTGATGGAAACAATGAGAGGAGGACATGTAGGAGTGAGGGTTAATGATAAGATTGGTCCATAGTTTAGAACTTTTAAAGGGCTTAGACAGGGATGTCATGACACCCCTTTTGTTCGACTTGGCAGTAGATGCTTTGGCTGTGTTGATGAAAAATGCTTTAGAAAATGATTTGGTGAAAGGAGTTTTTGGAAATGGAAATAATAAAGGAGTTAATATGCTGCAATATGCTGATGACACAATCTTCTTGATACAAGATGATATTGAAAGTGCTAAAAACTTTAAATTTGTACTAGGTGCCTTTGAGCAAATGTCGGGATTGAAAATAAATTTGCATAAAAGTGAACTCATACTGTTTGGGGAGGCTGTTGAAAAACAACAGATTTACTCAGAAATTTTCACATGTAAAATGGGAGAGTTACCAAATGAGATATTTGGAAATGCCCATCTCTGATGTTAGGATTAGGAATTACCAAGACGACTTGACAATTTCAATAACAGTCTCTTCTTTCAGCCACCTGGCTGTTTCACACGGCCCTTCGAACGACTAAACATATTATCACTAAAATAATCCATATCCAGAACCAACGGGCGATGGTCAAAGTGTACGTGTTCCTCGTTAATAAAGGCAATCCGAAGAAATTTATGTGCCCGTTCCAAAGTGCAAACTGCCTGGTCAAGTCGTTCCTTGATTTCACCTCTTCTCGAGGTAAAAGGATTGCCAGGGAAACCCAAATCGTCCAAACCACGCTCTATGAGACAATCACGGAACTCCACAATTGCATTAGGTCTCGCATTTACCACCTACCTTTTCCAAAGAGCATAAAATTTCATTAAAATCTCCTAAGACAATCCAAGGACGAGTGCCCTTATTAGGAAAATTACGAATATCACCCCAAGACAAGTGCGATCACTCCAATTTGGATTACCGTAAAAACCCGTGAAGCGCCATTGTACAACATCCTCACATAGTAATTCAACTCAACTTTATTCACTTTATGTCTATGCACGGCGAACAGTTTTCCAGCAGAATTTATTCCTGCAAATGTACATTTGTTTGCAGGCTAGATTTCCCCTTTGCTCCTTAAGCAATCCACCGTCTCCCTGACAGTCTTGTCGAATGGGGTGAAACGAACACCCAACTCGATCAGTTTCTTGGACGGAGCCTTTGATCTCACCACCCAGCCCTGTTTGTCCTCCTGGATCCTGAAGTGAAAAGAAGAAATCAGAAACGTTACAACACTGCATCTGATGGACAGACGACCAATGTTGCCAGTCAGCAGATGTATCACCTGTGAACCGGGAATTCAGGGTAAAGATTAGCAAGTTCATCGTGGAAATCGACGAGGCGTACGGCGGACTCCATGCACAGGTGGCGTCCCTGCGCCGACGGGTTCTCATAGAGCACCACCAGAGATTGTGCCACATCTCTGACGTCAACGCAGCCAACGAAGAAGGGTTCCATGTCAAGCTTCTGGCCTGGGTAATGGTGTTTGCAGTTTTCACTTTTAGAAACTCAAAATAAAGATTTCTCTGCGTTGCAACTCTGCAGCAGAAGTCAGAGTGCAGGAATTGCTATAGAGCTGCAAAAGACTCTGTATGTTGCAACTGACTGACCTCCCAGAAGCAGCATCAGCAGACGGAGACTACCAGTAGGTGCTGGGGTCAACGTCGGGCCCAGCACCAGCCCTGGATTCAGCACAACCAGCTTCAGTCCTTCCTCTCCGGCGAAGTCCCACGCCGCCTTCTCGGCCAGCGTTTTGGAGACGTTGTACCAAAGCTGTAATTCAGACAGAGGAAGTGAACGTAAGTGCTTAAGTCCAAAAGTAGCATCTAAACTGGATCCTGGGAGCGTTGACATGATGTACCGTACCTCGAGTTTCTTGAGGATCTCAACGTCGGCCCAGCAGTCGTCGTCTATGACCTTGTCGGCCGGCCAGTCGGCAGTCGGACACATGGCCGTCTGCGAAGACACC